GAACTAATTGGGAATACAGATGCTGCCGACGGGTTTACAGTCCCCCAGGACGCACAGAGCCCAGACTGACCCGGATCGAGGACGAACTAGGCCAGGGGATCCGGGGACAGCTGGGCAGAGTTTGAGGGGAAGACTCCATTCGCGAGGGGCAGTGCTTGGAAGGGGGGTGTTCCAGCTCAAGCCCTTTGGCCGAAGCAAGTAAAATTGTCTGAACCCCCCCTCCCGCGCCCGCCCAAGCCAGTAATCTGGTTTATTTATCGCCAGTGCAGACCGGAGTGGGGGAGGCGGAGGAGATTACCGATGACTAATCCCTCTCCACTTCCCTCGGGACGCCGGCCAGGTAGAACAGGTAGGATTAGCTCCGGCAGGCGGCTCAATCTTTCCCCTAAGCCAAAGGAGAAGGAAGGGAAGTCGACCGGCTGCGGGAGAGGGGAAGCGGGATCCGGGAAAGAGCCATGGTGAGCGGCCGGGAGGGGTTCTTAATTCTCAGACGGGACCTGAGCTGTTTCTCAAGGGGACCCAGATTACTAGAGAAGGGAGGGAGAGCACAGGGGCTGAGCCAGGCATGCGACGCGAGACTCCCACCCGCCTCCCCCGACCGGCCTCCAAGGCACCCTGAGCATCCCCGTGCAGCAGGTGATGTTGAGGCCGTCGCCATGGCTCCCCGAGCTCCGCTCCCCACCTCTTTTCCCTCCTCCACGGCGACCGTCTCCAAGCAACGCTCCCCCACCTGGCAACAAACGCCCAATTAGGCGATAGGCTGCCTGAAGGCCGCCGGAGACCCTCGCTTTCGGGAGGGGGTTTTGGACTCCACCTGGCAGCTCTTGCCCCCAGAGGGGCTGGGGTTCGAGGGTGCGTGCAGGCAGGGCGACGCCTCGCGGAGGTGCTCCAGCCGGGGTCGCCAACCTCCAGGTGGCCCCTGGAGATCTCCCCACCATGACAACTGATCCCCAGACAACAGAGATCTGTCCCCCTGGGGAAAATGGCTTTTACAGCAATTTGCTTCTGGTCCTTATTGAATGTATACTCTGTATTTACATGATTTATAATAGCCAATATGTTCCTCAGTGCGGTGGCTCAAGTGGTTAAGACTCTGAACTGCAGGCTGTGGAAGGTCGGTAGTTCAGCGGTTCGAGACCCGAGTGTGCCGCATGACGGAGTGAGCTCCCGTCTCTGGTCCCAGCTCCTGCCAACCTAGCAGTTCGAAAGCGAGAAATTGCAAGTAGATAAATAGGTACCCCTTCGGTGGGAAGGTAACAGCGTTCCGTGCGCCTTGCTGTTTAGTCATGCCGGCCCGTCGCTACCATGGGTCTTTTGGGGGGCTCTGCCTCCTTTCTTACAGGCATGGCCCCACAAGAATTATTCCTGTAAATGCTTTTCGCAATCATTTGAAAACTTTTTTTTTTTTAAAGGTGTGTGTTCCTTTAAGCAGGGTGGGATGCTGCCATTGACTAATTCCCGCACTGAGAAAGGGGGTTGGAGTAGATGACCTCTAGGATCCCCTTCTGTGTCAAGAAACTGGTCTCCTTTCAGAGTTTTCCTGCCTAAGTGTTAGCTTTCCTTGACTATAGAAGTCATCACCCCCATCTGCCGGCTTGTTCTCAGGATTGTTGGTTCGGCTGGCATAAGTGATTAACTTAAAATTGTCGTCTAAATGGGTCGACAGCTTGCAGTTCAGAGATCTATCCTGGAAACAGCTTCCTATTGGCTAAATGGCTTTCCTTTCTGCACTGAGGCGTTCGGGCCCGCCGGGGGGGGGGGGGGATTTGCCCCCCAAGCCCAACCCCACAAGCCACAAAATCCTGGCTCCGGGCCTGCTCCCAGAGCTTCTGAAGGCGCCGAATGTCAGGGGAAGGCCAGTTCCGCTCCACATTTTTACAGGCTTCCCACGTGAATCTAAATCTGTGGTGTGAATCCAACCCTTGCCACCCAGCCAAGGGAGCAAAATGACAGAGAGCGTGCTCTAAAAACTCTCCACCCAGCATGTGTGGAAAAGAGTGAGGCCTCGGTAGTCGCGCTACACCCAGGGAAGAATCACCACTGTCCCTAGAGAAAAGCGGCTGTTTCTCTCCCGCCATTGTGTTTACAAGTCTGGGGAGCCGCCGTGTGCGATCCACACCCCTTTCCGGCCCCGCTGGCTTGGGCGGAGCGACAACGGAGGAATGCCACCCACTTGTGGGAAACAGAGTGGTTGAGCAGTGGAACGGACTGCCTTGGGAGGGGGTGGATGCTCCTTCGCTGGACGTTTTCAAGCGGAGGCTGGACGACCCTCTTTCGGGTATGTTGCAGGGCTCTCTCTCTGCTCCTGCAGAGTGCAGGGGGTTGGACTCGATGACCTACAAGGTCCCTTCCAATTCTAACATTCTATGACTCTATTCTATGATCATATGGTAGAGGATTTTATCATCTAGCGGGACAGATAAACCCCAATGAATCACCGACACCAGGTATACTCTCTAGCTCAGGGGTCCTCCATACGGTACCCACCAAGACCTTACCTTTCCTGGCACCCATGTTTTCAGGAAGTGGGCAGGACTGGGGAGGGCTTTTGCCTGGCAAGACGTCGGACTATCAGAGATTTGATTGGCTGTGCAGATTTTTAAAGAAATGTGGCTTTGGCGGCAGCTGCCACCGCAGCACAAGGCTCGACACTGTGTGACCGAAGTTAAGCTTTGGCAATCGTTTTGTGGCTGGCCATTTATTTGTGGCACACGCCATGCCATGATAGAATTCCAACTGTGCCTGCAGGCTCAAAAGGGTTGGGGACCTATGCGGGATTCTGGTTTGGCCCAAAGGAGGATGAACATTTAACCAGAGTTAATCTTTGCCCGGGACAAGATCTTCCTGAGCCCAGGTGACACACTTTGGAATTTGTTCCAGGGACTCCCGATTAGAAGACGTCTCTTGCCCCATGCTCTACTCAGTGTGCCCACTAGAGGGAGCTGCTGACCTCTGCAACTTGATCACAACCCTAAACCGACCCAGCCACCTTGCCCGGGCGGTTGGAAGGAAAAACACGGAAATTACCGTCACCTTCTTCCTCGTCCTCCTCGTCGTCGCCAACTTCATCTTCCTCTTCGTCTACCTCGTTGTCTGCTTCCTGCTCCCCGTTTTCCTCGTTCTCCTTGCAGAAACAAAACACACTTAAAAAAAAAACCTAACCCTTCCCAGGACAGTTCCAGAAACATCGAAACTCCATCTCTTAAGTTGCGAGGCTATACTTTACAGCCATTTCTTTGCTAAATGCAATGATTATGTTTGGGCAGCTGCTGTCAACCTGGCAATTCTCAAGTTGTGAGGGAAAGGGGAAATCTCCGCAGCGACAAAGCGGACAAACAAATCAAGTTTTTGCACCCGGACTGAACGGCCAGAACCAACCACCCGCCCCCCGAAGCCCCCTTGCCTCCACTGGAGGAACTTTGCCGTCAATCTCGAGGCCTTGCTTTTTTTTATTCCAAGACTCACACCTCTTTCAAACCACTGAGGGTTATTAGAACATGAGAATTAAATGCTCCGGTGTTTATAGAATACCGCTGTGTTTGCATTTTCTTAATAAGAACCTCCAGCCCCACCCACTCCCAGTTTTACTCATTCGCTTCCGTCAACAGGACTTTTAAATCAGAGGGTGGGAACAAAAAAGGATCGGGAGACTGGAATTTGCTTCTTCCTCGAAGGCCTCCAGGAAGAAACGAACGCGGACACTGGCAAATGCATACTTTGCCTGCCGAAGATCCCAGGTCCAGTTGGAGAGGTCCAAGTTAAAGAGATCCCGGCTAGCACGGCTTGGAAAACACCTTTCTCTCTCACCCTGAGACTCTAGACCCCGACGCTCCCTACCACTGGCCTGGCCTAACACTCCAGCTTCGTGCAAGGCAGCCCCTATTACTTTTTTTAAAAAATCCATCCATTCCTCTAAGAATCGCACAAGTTTTCCCTCTGTTTTAGCCTTACAGCAACTCTCTAAGGTGGGTCAGGGCAAAAGAAAAACAATTTTCCTCCAGGCCAGTTTGGCCAAGGATCCTGGAGGTTTATTGTCATCTTCAGGGCATGGAACACAGGTCACTGGGTGTGTGTGGGGGGGAGGTATTTGAGTTTTCTGCATGGTGCAGGGGGGCTGGACTAGATTATTCTGGAGGTCCCCTTCCGACTTTTATGACTGGCCCAAAGTTGCCCAATGTGAGTTTCTGTGTGTGGCTAAGCGTGGATTCGAACCGAGGACTCCCCCAGTCTCAGCCTGACGCCTGAGCCCATCACACTCCACTGGCCCCCCCTGCAGGGGGGGTTCCACTTATAAGCACTGTCGCACCCCGGCAGAGGGACACTTACCGCGTTACCGTTGGCCGGTGCATCTCTGCCGTTTTCCGTCTCTTCCACCACTTCCTTCTTCTCTTTCAAGTCCTTAAAAGGGACAGAAACAAACCCAGAATGAGTCACCAGGATTCCAGACCAGTTTGGGGGGTTTTTTTTGGGGGGGGGGGAAGCTGGAAAGCCCGCCTCCCTCCTCCCCCAGCACTAGGAAAGTCGGAAAAAATAACCAATGCAGCACAGAAACAGCCAGGAAAAAAGTGTGGGAACGTGACTTCTTCCTTCCCCCACCCACGTGCAGAATGGCTTTGGACGGAGGAACCAAAGGAACGCGGCTACAAGGAAACGCCTCCCCCCCCCCAAGCACCAAGACAGACTTTGCTTCGGAAGTTCGGAGTTCAACAGAACGGGCTTAGGTCGGATCCTCGCTCCGGCGGAGATTGTACTAACGCGACCCTTCCCCTCCTAAGTTTCGCAACAGGAAAAAGCAGACCCAAAACAGCACGCTGGACCCTATAGTAAACCTCGTAAAAGTCTCTTCCAGCAAACGAATGGCTCTCCTGTCCCTGCCAGTTTGGTGTAGTGGTTAAGAGCACAGACTCTAATCTGGGAAAACCGGGTTTGATCCTCCACTCCTCCACATGCAGCTGCTGGTGTGACCTTGGGTCAGTCACAAATTCTCTCAGAGCTGTTGTCTCAAGGGCAGTCCTCGAAAGACCTCTCTCAGCCCCACCTACCTCACAGGGTGTCTTTTGTGGGGAGGGGAAAGAGAAGGAGCTTGTAAGCCGCTCTGAGACTCCAAGTGAAGGGCGGGGTATAAATCTAATCTCTTTCTTCTAAATTGTTCTACAGCACAGATAATCACCCCCACACCCCGCTAATGTTGCGGCAGGGCCTCCAAGATGAATTTTATGAAGTGGTCTTAAGGCATATGGTCTTAAAGGTCAAAAAGGTTTTTTTAAAAAAGGCTTTGTGTTTGCTTAAAAATGAGCTTGCCTTGCCTCTTTTGTCAAAAATTTCTAATGACAGCGTGAAAATTAATTGTTCTGGCAATGTTCGATTCAATACTCGGTCTGGCCAAATCCACCAGACATTCTTGAGACACTGCAGATGGTAAAATTCTTAATCAGCTTGAGTTTCCTAATGATCCCTCTCTCTGTGCAGAAGCTACTGTTGCTGGAATTGTTAAAAGAATTTGTAAGCCGACACAAACATTTGGAAACGGGTCACCAAGTCTGTATCCTGTTCACATGTTCAACCGATCCAGTGGGTTTTAACTTTGCATTTCCAAAATCTGCCTTCTGTACTGAAGGTGAACACTGCATTTCTGTCAAAAGATCCTCCTAAATTAAGGTCATCAGGGTGTTGTTTCGATACAAATGAAGCTTTTCCTTTCAAATGGCTTTCAGGCGTGAGGAGGTATTTCCACAAGAAATCGAACTTTTCAGCCAACTGCTTCACAGCGCTGACTCTTACCAGTTAACCTTGCTATCACACTGTCTACCAAAACATAAAACACAGATTTTCTGAAGTAGGCTTCTGTGTCATTCATTTCCAGCAAGTTAGCATCAGGTCTGTTATCACGAAGCCTTGCCTTGTGCGTAACCCCATCACATCCACAAGAGTTTCTACCTTAAGGGTCTATGCCAACAATTTTGACTGCATTCCACGTGCATTTCCAGTTGTTTCAAAGTTTTGTAATATCTGTGAGGAGTGTTTTCCATGTTTTCTGTTTCAACATCCAATGTGGCATTTCTGGCTTGGATTCCCTTATTGCAGTTGTCTATGCGAGCTAATATTTCTTACCGCATAGGCTGACATTAACACAGAGACAAAAGATGTCACATAGAATAAAACTCCCTGGACTTCATTTCTTGTTTTAGATGTCAAATTTAGTTCTAGGAGGTCTTACAGGTGAGCTAAAAAAAGCCTTTATTTTACACTTTCAACACGATCTGACAGTCTTGTTTCAGACATACTATGAAGAGAACAGCCTACATGGTGTTTCCAAGTATTTCCCACCACTTGGGACTGGAACTAAGTGTGATCATTTGAATTGATCCAAAAAACGTTATTGTGCTACAGGTACCCATTCAGCACCATCATTTCCACATACGTTAAGTGTGTGACAACCACAAGGTGAAAAAATAACTTTGTTGGGCACAGGTCTTGTATTTTGACTTGCGTGCTATTGTATCTTCCAGCCATACTTGATCCATGTCATAAGCTTGAGCTCAACAATCACTGAGACAAATAGCATGTTCTTTCAAAGTATCACTTATCGATTTAGCAATTTCTTCCCCTCTTTCGTTGCTGCCATCTGCAAACGTCAGAAATTCTTCTTGAATTTCATACTGTGTTTCTTTTAAAACTACAAATCTCAAAAGAAATGCCGTTCGTTCTCTATGTGAGGAATTTGGTGTGACATCCACTATGACCGTGAATTGCTTTACAGACTGCCTCTCAAGCAAAATATGTTGTTTCACAACATTTGAGCTTTCTGCAATAAATTCATTTTGAGTCGGGAAGACAGATAATGAACTTGAAGTCCCTCGTTCCTCTTCTGTGAATCCTAAAAAGTTTCCACAGGTAAACACTTCTATTTCTTTTTGAGGAGGAAACTCAGTTGTGGTGAATGATACAACCAAAGGCCTACGGCACGCCTCTCATTTTCCACACTCCCTTCCACCTGAGCCTGTATTTCTGTTTCTTTCCGGTCATTTCCCGCATGTGCTCCTTTATCAAAATCTTGTACATTATTACCCAAACCAACTGCTCCTTGTTTGGGAGATGAGGTTGTCAAGAATTTTTCCCCTCATTATAGAGGTGGGTTGAATCAGAATTTTTTCGAAGGCGCCCTTAAAAACTGAACTCGAAAGAGGTTTTCTTTCTGCCCTTTTTCATGTTCCCCTCATTTTTTCATTTCTGGGCTCCCGACCCTTGTGAGAAGACATTTTCGACAGATGGTTTATAATGTCTTCTTTTATATCTAAAAAGGGGAGATTGAATTCCTGATCAGCTCTGACCTGACCTTCGCCATGTGGCCTCAAAAAAAAAAACACCACAACCTGGGCCCAAACTCACAAAGTTTTAAAAAGAACTAATCAGTGAAAAATGCAGCCTAACGTCACTAAAGTAATTAAGGAAAAGAATTAGAACATCCCTTCAACTTATCGGTCCAAAGTTGCTCTTTAGAGATGGATTTAGAACAAACTAATACGCCCAAACCCTCCCAACTACAAACAATGGCCACCGGCCTAAACATTCGGTCTGCCTGGCTGGAGAGTGGAGAGGCACAATCACTCGTACAAGCTGCCCCTAGTGGAAGATCTTGGGAATGCAACGTAACAACAATGTAAAGGATAAAACTGCTATGTAGGCCAACAACGTAAGATATAAATACTAGTCTTCATATGCAAACTTTTTATGGGACTCCAGGAACCTCTGGGGGCTCCCTTTGCGTCCAGCTCTAGAAGTTCGGAGTTCAATTAGGTCGGATATTCACTCCAGTGGATACTGTACTAACGCAATCCTTCACCACCTAAGTTTCCCCACAGAAGAAGAGACTGGATTTATACTCTGCCCTTCATTACCTGAATGAGTCTCAGAGCAGGTTACAATGTTCCCTCTAAGTGCTGGAGTCTTGTGAGCAAAAATTCTACTTTGTGAGCTACTGGCATTGAAGTTGTGAGCGAGCCATTTGGCTACTGCATACATTAGCTTGCTCTGGAGCCATCCTTCCTGAGCTGAGACAAAAATGTGTGAGTCAGATGCTAAAAAACGGTGAGCTAGCTCACACTAGCTCAGCTTAGAGGGAACACTGGTTACAACCTCCTTCCCCTTCCTACAACAGACATCCTGTGAGGTCGGTGGGGCTGAGAGAGCCCTCGAGGACTGCCCGTGAGAGAACAGCTCTGGGAGAACTTGTGACTGACCCAAGGTCACACCAGCAGCTGCATGTGGAGGAGTGGGGGAATGCTTCTCCCAGCTTACAGTCCATGTTCCTCACCACCACACTAAACTGGCTCTCCTCCCCAGTTTCAAAAATCCATTTAATATATAATCCTCAAACAGAGGAACTGAGAAGAACAGATACGACACTCGATCGTAGCCTAAAGACCGAGAAGGAAAAGTACACCCAAAATAGCACACGGAGCCTATGTTAATCTTCTTAAACAGCCTCTTCCAACATAGGAATGGCTCTCCTGTCCCTACTTTGTTCTACAGCACACACAATCCCCCACCCCACTAATGTGGCGGGTACCAGCACCCAACATAGAAACCCAGATCAGTCAAAGTCAACAAGCCGCAAATTCCACACACGAGCCACTGTTTATGCCCAGAAAGAGTGCCGAAGTTGGCATAAAACTCGTCTTTCAAGGGGGGGATGCACACCCGGAAAACCCCAAGAGGGGGTCCCTTGCACCGAGCTCAGCAGACCAACAGGATTTTTGGGGTCTAAACTTTCGAAGGTATATTATCAGGAGATCACCAGGCAAAGGGAGTCTTAACTCGCCAAAGCTCGTGCCCCGAAAGTCGCACTGGCGTCTACACTAGTTCTACAAGGCTACTTGGACGCGAACCTAACTATCCTGCTGATCTACGGCCGAGAAAAATCCAGCTTTCCCGCTTCCAAAGGAAGCTGCCAGAGACAGCAGTTATCCTCGTCACGGCAAAGGGGGTTGTTCCACGGGGACAGCCTTACTGCCTGCCTCGCATAAGGCTGCCAAGAATTTGGAGACAGACAGGCGACGGGACACTCCGGCAAAGGCAGGCCCGGCCTCCATCCCTCCCCACACTATCATGGTGCCTCAATTACACGCCTCGGTTCACTCCCCACAAAGGTTGAGCATCGACACAGCTGGGAAGGCCTCCCCTTCCATTCCTTCTCTCTTCCTTCGGATTAGGACGGCCTTCAGATTTTGTCGCTGGCCATCACGGGCCTAATGCAACAGTGCGCCGGCTAAGCCTCTCAGGGCAGCCGAGGCTTCTGGGTAAGTCGGCGCTGGATTAGCCGACTCCAACGGCACCGTCCAGAAACCGCCACTGCCCCACCGCTCTGCTCCCCCCCAACCAAAGCATTCCAGCGCACCTGTTGCGCAAACAAGTGAAATCCCCCTCCTTAAGCAAAGACATCTGTCTAACTCATCTGGCAGGTTAAAAGCATGGATTTACCACCTCATGCTGCACGACTTCGGGAAATGTTCCAGCACACAGACACACACATTGGGGCTGGGGGTGATTCCCAGATAATCTAGAAAGCAAATCTAAATGGACTCCAAAGGGGGGGGGGGGAGAACCACAGCAGTACATTTATTTAAGGAAGGAATTTTCCTGACACCCTAGATGGAGTTTTCTCAGGTCAAATGAATGGAGTTTGCACAGTGATGGTACTTCAAAGTTACAGGCACCATATGGTTTTTCCAGGTCTCTGCCACCCCGCCTAGAAAAATTAACTCATCCTAGACATTAGTTGTTGCATCTTAGTTGCTCATCCTAAACAAATCAGCAAACCAAACTGCAACAAGCTCTGGAGAAGGAGGAGAAGGCCCTTTTGCCCAGGGCAAGGCAGAAGCGTATAATTCTACGGGCAGAGTTGTCTGTGTCAGAAAGAAATCGGCATTGCAAAAGGGTCCTTTTGTTGAAACCTGGGTATTTAAACAATTCCTTTAAAAAAAAGGACACGTAACCTAAGTAAACAGGCCAGGGCTAACAAACCATTTCAGAACCTTCAAAAAAAAATATTAACAATATTCTTAAACACACACACACACCAGTAAAGTCTACACGCAAAGTCCTTTGCTGAGGCCAGAGGAAACCCATATAGAAAGTGAACAAGGGTAAATAAAAGTCAACAGGGAAGTAACTATTTACAGGGCTTCCATTGTCTTTTTGCACCAGCAATGCCACAACCTGTTTGCAAAGCGGGGAATCTCCCACCGGCAAATGCATTAATGGAACTACGGGGAATCTTTACTTTTTTAAAAAAAAAATCAGCTGCAAGGCTCTCGAAGCAAAACGATCTTCCCTCCTGCACCTGAAATGGATGCTCCCGATTTAACAACCGTCTCATTGTCCCGGTGGGTTACCAAGAGCCCTCCCACCCTGCAGGGGGCGCGCGAGCCGGGCTCTCCTCGCCGGCGGTCCGGCCACGCGCCCTGGGCCGTTTCAAACCCGCGCGCCACACTTGGCGTCTTCCCTCCTGCACCTGAAATGGATGCTCCCGATTTAACAACCGTCTCATTGTCCCGGTGGGTTACCAAGAGCCCTCCCACCCTGCAGGGGGCGCGCGAGCCGGGCTCTCCTCGCCGGCGGTCCGGCCACGCGCCCTGGGCCGTTTCAAACCCGCGCGCCACACTTGGCGCCCCTGCGATTGGCCGGCCGCCACCGACCTCCCGAGGCACGCCGGGACTCGCAGTTCTTTTTCTTCCCTCCCCCCCCGCAAGCGGGAAAGCCGGGCGTCAAAAAAGAGCCAGTCGGGGCTTGGCAGAGAATGAGGGCGGACTACGATTCCCGAGAGGCTCCGCGCGGGCGGAGGCTGGAGAAAGGCAGCGGCAGGGAACAGAGCGCGGCACGTGGTGGAGCGCTGGCCGCGGGCGGCTTCGCTGCGGCCGGGGGCGGCGCTCGAGAGGTAGGGAGAAGCCACCGCCCGCCCGGGAAAGGGAGCCGGAGCTTGCGGCCCCCCGGGGCGACTGCATGGCTCGTCTGGTGCAAGACAACAAATGCGGACGGGGGGAGAGAAGGCTGCAAACTCCCCCCCCCCCCAAATAAGGGCAGTTTGGTTTT